TTGTCATACGGCTCGGCCACCAGAGCGTTTCCCACGCTTTTCTCCGTGGGAACGGTCAACCATTTAGCTTTCAGCCGGGCGTCTCGTAGTCTAATCCTTGTTCGGGGTATACCGCGGCCTTCTACGACCTTGCAGACGTCGCCACAGTTACAAAAGGATTAACTGTCGGCGGCGACGTTCTAAGGAGAGCACCCCATTTTGCACTTATCGGTTCCCTTTCATGTGCCGCCGTTTCTCACGGTCAGTCGGGGAGTACGGCGCCCGTTAATTGCCGTGACGCGGTGTCGCCAAAAATAGCCGTCCGTGACACCCCGTGACGTCGACAATCACTGAAACATTCGGTACACTGACAACACTGAAAATATACATGCGTCTAAATGCAAAAACAAAAACAAGATAATTGAGAAAAATAAACTCGGAAAGGTAGAATCACCAAGAAACATGAAAGTACAGAATCTTTACAGTTCAGTAGTGATGTAAGCACACTGCCCTTTTATGCCCACGAGACATAGGTTGCAGAGAAAGAAAAACTTCTGAGACAAGCAACTCAAATTGACAGTGCATTCGTTTAAACTAAACGTGATGTTCATGAACTCATTGTGAATCGGGAAGGATTTCTGCCCTTCTTCTCAAAGTTTGAGCAAAATCTAGAGTCGACTAAATTTATCGTAAAGTTATTACTGACCGGGAATACGCACATGTTTTGGAATGGGCAGGTTCGGCAACGTGTTATCCTGAGATTGATTATTGATAAATCGTAATCAGAAAGGGCATTCTGTTTGTCCAGTATGCTGTTTGTTGCATGCCGTAAATTCAAGCAAATATATAGTTACGTTTTTAGTGTCACAGTCGAAGTTCTCTTGAACTTGTAAACGACATTTTGAAGGTGTACTGGCGCTCTGTTGAAAGGAGCACATATGGGGATGGGAACTTTTGTCTGACATTTCGGTTTGTGGCATGAATGACATCCGATGGCGTTTGGGCGAGCAATTGTAGATAATGATGATGATAGTATGTAGTGAAGATCTGCGGTACGTTGTTCTGAGTAGTTCAGTGAAGATGTAGTCATGAATAAGTCTGTTTACTCGTGATTGTACTAGTGAATAGGTCTGATTATACCAAAGAGGTCCACAAGCAGCTATCCTGCAGACACGAGGTTTTTAAACAATTTGATCATGACCCGACAGAAGAGCATAAGTTACTGATTGGACGCACTATTCCAGTTCTAATCAGAGATAAAAAATGGCGGGTGGACAACGCAATTAATTCACTCGTTCCATTAAGTGGTCTCCAGTCGTTTTTACCAGATACAAAAAATGCAAAGAAGACAATCCTGGTCGTCTTATGGGTTTCGGAATAGGTACTGTTACGGCAAACTTATCCAGCTTTGTAGATTCCCTCATTAGCAGTATCAGAGCTACATTCCCGTTTTGCGTGAAAGACACTACTAGTTTTATGTCCGTTATACTTGACATCACTATTCTATACTGCTCTCTATTGGTGAATTCATGTATAGTGTCTATGTAACCTAGCTTTCCACGTGTCAGCGGCATCGGGGCTGTCATCGAATCCTACGAATAAATGTTGGCCGAGAAAGCGATTGACAGCAGCACATTAGCGAAATTACTTGCTTATTTTGAACTTCAATGATTTCGAATTTGTTGATACACCCTACATCAAAATCAGTGGGACATCGATGAGCTCGCGCATTGGTCGAAATTACGCAAACATTCTTGTGGCCTGCCTAGAAAATAAGGTTAAAGCCCATTTTTCATCTGCTTGCTCATTCGCATAGTCTTTTTTCGGGAATATGATCTGAGCTTCCCGGCGGTAAGGTTTGCAATGTTTCCCTTTGAGAATTATTGACGTTCATCAAGACCTACACATGGCCACTCGAACTTGCTCACTCTGGCTAAGCATTTCAGAAACTAATCGCTGTGTGTTGTTTTATTGGTTTCGAAACTTCACTATTTTTAATGCCTTCCAGTCGTTAAATATTTCTAAGCGTTTGGCATGCAAATACTGACGGGTTCAGTATCAGAGCGTATGAAGTGCTTTATTTCATCTCCGTTAAAAAACACCATCATCGCATGTTCGCTCGTAGGACGGCAGAGGCATACTAGTACCGCATACAATAAACCCAATGCTTGCCAGCATGAGCCTACAAATGCATGAGTACCAGAGGTGTAGCCATGGGGTAGTCGTGGGGTGGCACAGGCTCGTGTCCCTAGCACCGATTTTTTTTTCTCCTATAGAACGCGGGACACACTTATCTGCCTGTGTCTCCCTTCCCCGAAACAAATTTCAGCCTGCACGCCACTGACTCGTATACCACTGTCCAACCTAAAGTGAACATAGACGTCGATGCCGCAGCAATCGATTGCGTTCGCGAATTTTCGCGACATAAAGCACAATTTCCTGTTTCAGCAGAACTATTCTTAAGATGGTCGGTTGAACACTGTACAGTTCCGTGCGATTTCCTACCTCACAATTCAACCGAATAATTTTTTTCCATAAAAATGACGAATATTTATCTGCCGGTGAGGCTGACCTGGCGTTAACATCATCGGAAGCAAACAAAAAAAAAATACTTAGAGGACGATTGAGTTCCGCCTTCAAGAGCTCAACGCGACAGCGTAACTGGGTCTCGTGCGCATTCTCATGTGCGAACCTGTGTTCGGTTCTCGATGCACGCCTCAAGTGTGTCGGGAGAAAACGAACAACTATGCGCGTAACATTAACAGTTTCAAAGTATGATAGAATGCCTATTACAAGTGCAGTTGTTGAGTGCTCACTATAAGCCATAATTATTTCTTTTGCGAATCAGCGAAGGACCCAGTATGCACTGTATAGTGCAACATCCGAACCAACGCAGCTCTTCAGTTTCTTGATGCATTTGGTGATGATTATAAATGAATACGTCTGATTACTTTCTAATTGCTTGTTCTTCTTATTCTTATGTGATTCTTAAAAGAGAAAAGAAGAGAAAAGTGAGCCCTGCATCTTTCTGCATCAGAGTGCGACACCTCAACAGTAGCTCACGAAGGATGGGGGTAAGCAGGGATTAAAAGGATAGGGTGTAGAGATGGAGAGGGGGAAGAAGAGAGCGTGGCGCAAGGACGTGCCCATAAGCAAGGAGAAGATAGGAAAAATGGACATGGTCGCAGGAGACCGAGGACGGGGCACGAGAGCTCTTGTCGGTGGCAGGAGATGGCGTAGGACGAGTCAGTCGGCCAGAGCGGCGCTGTCGTTGGAAATCGCGGGGGCACAACCGGTCGGCACGAAATCCAGAGAGCGAGTCCCGACTTGTCTTTTGAAACGCTCACTCGTTGCATTTTACGGGTGTTCCGCATGGAGCGAATGTACGCTTCTGCGACGTAATATTACGTGCGTTAAGGCGATTCTTTCAAACACATGACATTCATATGTTTTCTTTTTCGAGAACGTTAAAGAAATAAATCTGAGTGTTTGACTTTAAATAAATACTATGCAAAAATATATTTGCTCTGTGATAAACATCTGATCATGCAGACGACCTGGGTTGGAATCTCACCCGGCCGTCACGTATAACTTCATTTCTTTATTTTTCATCTTTCTAGACTTTTCAGTCATGAATAAGACAATTTTTCAGTCACAACGAACGAGATCGTCACCGACGCCGGAATTTCTACCAAATGACCTCTTTTACACACTCGCGTTTAAGCTAAGTTGGAGCCCGCTGAAAGCTTTGCTTTGCGCAGGCTTCAATTTTGTTTGATCTTAACTTTGTCGAACTTTGTTTCAAACTCTGTTTGAGCGGGCTCAAAGCTTTGTTTGAGCAGGCTCCAACTCGCATGGCACTCTTAAAAAGATGAGGTGCGGACACATAATTGCTGCTTGGGTGTAATTTGCAGCGAATGTGTGATTTGTTCTTGAGTATAAAATAAAAAATATACGTGGATCTCTTGATCGAGCTTGCACACAACTAAATTTTATGAAAAGCTCGAAGGCAGATTTTGTTTTCCCTTTCTGGTAATAATGAGTAAAGGAAGCCATATTCATTATATTCTTTCACTACGGCGAGCATCATACTGTATGCTGTCTGAAAACATCGTCATTCTTCTCTTAATTTGTTGCAACGGGTTCCAGCTTTTACATCCCTAATGCATGCAAGAAGAAGGATGACGAGGTCGAATTCGTCCCAAGACGCAGTATGACACAAGCCATTGATTTTGATTACATGTGGGGTTTAACGTCGCAAAACCACCATATATGAATATTAGAGACGCCGTAGTGAAGAGCTCCGAAAATTCCGACCACCTGGAGTTCTTGAGAGTGACCCCAAATCTTAGCACACGGGCCTACAGCATTTTCGCCTCCATCGGAAACGCAGCCGTCACAGCCGTCGCAGCCGGGATTCAATCCCGCCGCATGATAGATGCCATGGTGAAACGTCTTCGCGTAAGAGAGGTATCGTAAACAACTTTCTTTTCTTTTTTTTGTAGATACTGCCATCTTTCACCGCAAGCTGTTGCAGGAGCTAGTACATAAGCACGCTAAAAGTAAAAATTGCGAAAGATCTTATACATTAAAAGAGAGAGCGAGAACAATATCACGAAAGGATGCACTGCTTGTCAGTGAGCGATAGCTTAACACATTCATCAGTAGATCACTCACCCAGGGGGCGCTCAAGATCATTCCAGATGTCAACAGCATAAGCAAACGAAGGAAAACTTATAGCAGTCAATAAATGGATTCTGCTAAATATTTACATGCTATTTTTTTTTCCTGACCTCGTCAGGTGGGCATACCGTTCTACGTGCCTCAAGTATTAATACCTATACCTCTTTCTGTTTTGCCTCTAATGCCTGACATCGTATATTACGATTACGAGCATGTGCGTTTCAATGAGAAAATGTATTATCGGTGCTCGAGTCATTTGGAAAGAGTGCCTTTTTTTTCGTTTCGCAGATAGAGAACAAAGCGACACATTCGCGTCATTATCGCGCCCATTGAGAACTTGTCGTTGATAGCAGCTTTTCCGGGCGTTACCGCCAACAATATGCGCACTTAGTCTCGAATGCTCAGTCGGGAGATTCGCTACGCTGCCTAGAGCTACATTTGTGCCATAGACAACGTTTCCCGCTCTACGCGGAGGCAGACTGTTGTGGAATGGTAAGTCAGCGCATTCAATTCATCTTATTACTTAAAGGGTAGAAGGAAGCCACAGAGAAAGTGTAGCTTCAGCTGCTATGGGCGATTAGCACAATATCGCGTGATCGACTACTCTACCGGACGGGCTGGTTTTTCCCGGGGGGCCCGGGCCTACCCAAAAGAGACTTACCACCACCCGCCCGAGTACGGGTCGGTGCTTTTAGATTTGACCGCTGATTGATTGGTATGTGGGGTTTAACGTCCCAAAACAACCATATGATTATGACAGACGCCGTAGTGGAGGACTCCGGAAATTTCGACCACCTGGGGTTCTTTAACGTGCACCCAAATCTGAGCAGACGGGCCTACAACATCTCCGCCCCCATCGGAAATGAAGCCGCCGCAGCCAGGATTTGATCCCGCGACCTGCGAGTTAGCAGTCGAGTACCTTAGCCACTAGAACACCGCAACGGGGCTAGATTTGACCGTACCTGGCCGAGGCACGAAAGAATTGGGTCCGGTCCTACCTGGCCCATTTAAAAAAAAAATACGCCTTGGGCACAAACGATGCGTGCTCGGATCTTCCGTTATTGGAAAATGTCAGTCGCACTCAAGATATGTCTTGGAGGTTGTAGTAAGAAGATGCGACTGCGTCACGATTTTAAGTGGTTATTTTGTATGCTCCTTGGTTAGGTGCGATCGTAGCACGTATATGCGAAATAGTTGCGCAGGAAGATGTATAAGCGTTGGCATAGCTAGCTATACTCGGCGACAACGTTTCTTGGCACTGAAAGAAACTATGGAGGCGGAGCTTCTGCAGATATATAACTACGCGAAGTTGTCCGTTTGCCACGCGTCTTTTAAGGGGATGGAAAGTGATGGTGATGCACGCTCAGTGTTTTATGCACATTAAGACGCCGCTTAGTGTTGGAGCTGCACGTAAAAAGGTGGGACTTTCTCACGCGTTCAAAAACGCGGAGTCACAACGAATAAACTAAAGGAATTACGAGTATATCAATGGTGCAAGCTGCACCCTGTCTCAAATAGCTTCACGTAGAAAAAAATGTCGCTGCTTTGCCGCAAAGGCAAAAACAATAAACGCGATAGCAACAAACTGGAAGTTCATGTGGAGAACGGCATGTAAATCGAAACATTCTCCGCATTTCGCACGCACAAATGACATATGAAACGTACTCACAGGCACAGATGTACGTATATAGGCGTTTCAGTTGTTACTTCGCTGTGTCTGAAAAGCGCGCCCTTTCCGCGAACGGAGGTTGTGCAATGATTACAGTGACTCTTGTGCACCCCGTAACTATAACAGAACCGTTCCAGTCAAGACCACCGCCAGCCAAGACGTATGATTGTCTCCACCGGAAGATAAGGGCGCTCGAGAAATTGTCCACTCCCCTCGTCTCCGCGGGCCAAAGTACGCGCGTGTGATGAGAGCCGCCGCGTGCTCTATGCGCAGTCTTGCTGATAATGCTGAAAACAAGATAGTTTTCCCGCAAGATGCCCACCAACAGCGGTAAGGGGTAAGTATAGAGAGCGTACCGTTTGAACGTTCGAGGAGGTATCTCTCGGTGGCTAAGTATATAGTTAACGCCTTGCATTCATGACGCGAAAGTCCCACGTTTGATTCCACGTGCCGGAGTCTTTTTTCTGGATGTTTTTTCTCTTCCTTGCGTTTTCATATGTACAAGTACGTATACATATACGGTGCTTGACATCAACGTCGACTGACGTCCATATAATTGCCGTCGCAATAATAAAAGAGGAATTGTTATGTTAGCGTTGAAAACACGATCGCTATTGTGGAACTGCATTGATTGGCGGTCGGGGTCACGCAATTTGGCTCTATAATCTCCGTTCAAATGCCAACAAAAACCTGTAGCTGAGTCTATCTCATCAACGCCGTGCTAACGCTGTAATCTTAGCATTACGTTTGAAAAAAACAACAAAATAAAACACACGTAAAAAGCAGACATTCATAGTTTGATTTAGCTCATATACATTGCTTGCGAGCTGAGGCTGTAGAGTGAAAACAGCAAGGCGTTTTCTTCGTACTTCTTTTATTTCGCAATGTGGTGAGAAGAAGATTATTGGAAGGAGTAGAGAAGGAGAAACTCAGGACCATGTTCGGGGACGAGGCCAGTCCAGAGCACTGCAGTGCTGGCTCCCAGTGCTCGCCTAAGGAGACCCAGAGAGAGAAAATGACGAAAAAAAGAAAAAAAAATTGGCAGATATCCCACGCCTCTCGGGAATCGACGTTATGCGAAGCATGTGGAGAGAAGGTGACCATGTTGTAATTTTTTAGTGAGCGGCACGTCATGTAATGCCGCCAAATATATGTATAAATGCTGCACGCACAGACATGTGAAGAGGTGCAGATGTTTATATAACGAGTTGTTTGAGCTTGTGCAACAATGCGACCATAAACATCAGTATAAGCAACACCAGAAGCGATAAGCTAATAGGAAGCGCTGGCACTCACGAGTATGGTAGACCTGGACACTCATAAATCAACTTCAGCGCATGGCACCTAGCTACGATTGACGACAACCCGAAGTGACGGCTGTATCATAGGAGTACATATGCAATGTTTATAAATCTGGATAGCCAGCACTGCAACCACAACTGACGTTTCACAAACAAAATTAATTTGTAGGGTTTAACGTCCCAAAACCACCATATGTTTATGAGAGACGCCGTAGAGGAGGGCTCCGGAAATTTCGACCACCTGGGGTTCTTTAACGGGCACCCAAATCTGAGCACAAGGGCCTTGAGCATTTCCGCTTTCGTAAACAAAAGAATCTATTTGAAAAGTACTTTCGAGACCTGGCGTGGCTCTGAGTTGAAATAGTTGATTCGAACGCAGAATGCTTGGGTTTGACTCCTGCAGAGACCCTGACATTTATTCTTTGCATTCGTGGGGTGAATGCGGCTGAAAGCGCGTTTAAGGGGTGAAGCTGTTTAAGCCGTGAGTCATGCGTCCACGATGTAGGTAGTAGTAGTAGTATTAGTAGGGGTAGTAGTAGTAGTAGCAGTAGTAGTAGTAGTAGTAGTAGGCAGCCACCTCCACGGCCAGACTAGAGGAGTGGCACACGTGCACTCTTTTGAATTGAGGAGGAAACCTGTGCACGTTAGTCGTAAGTGATAAAAATAGTTGTGTCTGATTAACTAAACTACAGAGACGAATATCAGTGGCTTATCCTCCAATAAAATTTGCCTTGAATTTCATGCTTACTAAAAAAAAGAACTAGTGACAGAAAGACGCACTTCAAGCCCTATCTGGCCAAAAAAGGTTGTCACGTTAAACTCGCTGGACGTAAGCGAGCTCCTTGGTTTAGCGAAGGTTGGGCCGCAGTGCCAAGCGGTGGTGAAATGTGGTGGTGAAATGTAGGAACTATAGACACGAAGCGCAGGCGTAAGAAAGTCCGTTTTTCTAGTCCGGCCGCGCCACCTCTCGTTAAGTCTATGGAATGTCCGCTGGATGGTGTTACTTTTATATGATGAATATATCATGCAAAGATGTGAAACAGTGGTACTTAGTGTTCACTAAGTGTTCAGTACCCCGAAGTGAACTAGCCGCCGAAATGTCAGCGCTCCCCGTCGGACGTGGCGTGTCGAATGTTTGAGGCATGATCCCGCACAGTGACCGGAAGTGGTAGATTAATTTGAGGTCTCAGTGCCAAGAGAGGTGCGAATGCTGATCAGCTCTGCCTCGCCGTTATGATCATAGGCTTGAAGCTCGCGGCGATGGAATACCGATGGCCATGAGCATCAACAGGGTGTGCCAAAGGGGCGCTTGCCCCTCTCCAGCCTAACTGGAGCTTGCACTCACACAAGCTAAACCACTGCCCTCACCCTCCCCACCGTTTGCCCACGCCAGCTCCGTCCCCTGCAGTGTTCCCATCGCGGCCACTTCGGGCACGCAACTGCCACTGGCTCGCGAGACAAACGGTGCCTGCGTTTTAGAGTCAAGCAAGCCCCAGGTCCGTGTGCACCTGAACATACAAGCTGCATCAACTGTAGCGGAAAACATTCCGCAATCGAGCCACGCTGACCTTCCTGCCCCTTCCGCGGTTATTATAGCCTTATCTGACGGCACTGTCACTCGCCGCCAAGCCATGGAACACTCCAGGACGCCTGAGAGCAGTGCGACGATTGTCAAGGGTCACCCTGTCCGTGATGCGCTCGCTGGTACTGGCGGTACGACCTCAAAAGTAACCCTGCGACCTACATCAAGTGCGCCCGTGGTCTCCGTAAACACGACGACGACATCGCCCTCTTCCACGACTCAGCTAGACTGTGCCGTCGTCACCCACACTCGACGGTGACACACACACCACGCGCCTGCTTCTGCCGCCGTCTCCAAGAGTGCGACGACGACACCGCCCGCTTCTTAGTTCCCGCAGGCTCTTGCCGGCCTCTTGAAGGACAAAATGAAAACCGCACTCAAAGCGATACCTTGCGAGGTGCTCAAGATCATCGCAGACGACTGCCCGGGGCGACGCTTTTATGCTGCGACTTTGGTCGCCCACGATGTCATGGCATCTCGGGATTAGCCTTTGAAGAGGCGCTACCATCGAAGCAAACTGGACTTATATCGTCAGTTTGGAAGACCCCCCTCTTCTTCTCTTCTTGTAGCCCGTGGTAAATTGTGCGCAACACTGCTCTTGCGGTGGTTTCCTTCACATGGCATTTTGCGAAACTGCTATGGTATGCTATGGTTGCATTGCGAACACAAGCGACAGATCATAACATGAAAATCATAACATGCCTGTCATGTACCAACAAGACTACATGCCTAGCACATGATGCACTCGCGGGCGTTTCGCTAGCGTTACTTACACCGAATTCGGTACTACGGTACGGGAATGAATGAAACAAGTATGCTACTGGTGCAAACATGATAAACACGAGATGCGTGTCATGTAACAACATAACTACATGCCACACTCATGATGCGCTCGCGGCCGCTTCGCTAGCTTTACATATGCCAAATTTTGTATTACGTGGGGTCAATGGATGACCAAGGCATGTGCCTGGTGCAAACACGATAATCATGAGATGCGTGTCATGTGAGAACATGACTACATGCCACAGTCAAGGCACCAATACATTTCGAAGTGTGCTCGCCGGCGTTCATTTCGTCGGGTCACGCCCACGTTGCCACGCCAGGCACCGCAGGCGCGCGCTGCCGCGCTGCGTTACTTTGATGCATGCGCGTTTCAGCGCGTCCAGCGTTCCTCCGTCACGAAAAGAGGGAGACGCTATGTTGTCTGGTGTTATGCCTGCGAGTCGACAACGAACGTCCGTGCCTCCGAAAAAGGCAATCTGTGTCAAGGCCAGCCCGCGTCGCCTGCCTGACGCGATCAACAACTCAACGGCGCCTTTCTGGCGTGCACGTGCAGCGAGTCATCTCCGCAAGCGAGCCCGTCGAGTAAACAACTGGCGCCTTCCTGTCTGGCTGGTCTGACGCAATGCCTTGCGACGTCACTCGTCCTTGGGTGCAGCCACCTGCAGCGCAGCCTCTCCAGATTTGAGGAGAAAGAAGGACGCGGCCCAGCGGCGACCTCATTGGAGGATTCTGACCTCGCGACCAGCGGCGCTTCGGGTTGGACGTTTGGGTTGGACCCGGGGCATATAAAAGAAGCCCTGCGGCGCGTCGATAGAGACCCCTTTGACAGCGGACCCATTTGGGAGTAGAGCTATGTGTTAGAGAGGAGAGCTCGGCTCTTCGAGTCTCTGTCGGCCCTAGTGCCGAATTTGTAACGCCTCTGTATATATGCTGTACATAAACCTTGTTTAACTTACCGTCGTCTCGTCCGCTCGTCTATCAGCTCTGCGCAGAAGCAGTCGCGAGCTGAGAAACCTACGCTACCAAACGGCAGGTGACCTTTCCGGCGGAGTTCGAAGCAGTGGCGCCTTCGGGACCGTGTTGGCGTCGCCGTCTTTCGAAACAGTGGTTGCAGCGGAGAGATTCGAGGTTCCCTTCGTAACGTCGTCGGAGGTGCGCGCCGTAGCACTGGGTAACGCACCGGCACGAAATGCAGCATGTCGCATTTCGCGCCGACGGACGCTGGTCGCGTCGGTCACGCCTGGCGTCAGACTGTAGAGCGCTCGCGTTCTGCTAACGTAGCCTCACTGTGCCCAGCGTGCGCGCGTATCAGCACTACACAGGAGTATGGGCCCTTCATGATGCACTCGCGGCTTTTTTGCTAGCTTTACATATACCACCAACTTTGGTGTTACATGACGTCAATAGATGACAAAGTATATGACTGGTGCAAACATGATAATCCTGACACGCGTGTCATGTAAGAACAGGACAACATACCACGCTCATGGCATGCTCGTGGTCGTTTCGCTAGCTCAACATATACTAAATTTGGTGTCACGTGACGTGAATAGATGGCGAAGGTAAACGACACATCTAAGCATGATAATCATGACACAGAAGTCATATACGGCATCATTTACTTCTGTTGTAAGGTTGTGCTCATTTTAAAGGGACATATGAACCTTTCTCATTCGTACTTCGACATCATCGATCCCCACAGTACGTGGGATCTGCCAAGTTTTTCGCCTATGCTCTCTTACCCTTTCCTCCCTATCATTTTCCTTCCCATTCCAGTGCCGACCTGTTTAGGTGTCATATCTTAAGGGCAGAAAGTTATATGGGGTGCACTTTTCCTTTTCATTAGCACTTACAAGTGCCACGGCCACTGGACTAAAAAATTGGCAGATCCCGCGTACTGTGGGAATCGATGATATGTGAAGCACGATTGAGAAAGGTTCATGTGTCTCTTGAAAATCAGCACAATGTTACGAGGTGGAGGTGAATAATGTCGTACTTGACTTAGGGGTCATGATTATCATGTTTGGATGTCTCATCTACCTTCGCCAACTATTAAAGTCACGTGATACCAAATTTAGTATATGTCGAGCTAGCTAAACGGCCACGAGCGCATCATGAAGGGCCCAATATACTCTAATATAGCGTTGACGCACACGCACGCTGAGCACAGCGATGCTACGTTAGCGAAACGCGAGCACTCTAGAGTTGACGCCAGGCGCGACCGGCGCGACCAGCGTCCGTTGGCTTGGCTCGACGGCAACTGGTGCGAAATGCGACATGCGGCAATTCGCGCCGATGCGTTACCCAGATAACACGTTTCTCCCTATTTTTGTGACGCAGGGACGCCGAATGCACTGAAACCCACATGCGTCAAAACAACGCAGCGCGGCGCGCGCCAGCGAGCACAAATATTCTAGGTGGTGTTGCGTGACGCCACCAAATGGAACGCCGGAGAGCTCGTGTGCCGCGTCACGTCCAAATGTATTGGCGCGTTGACTGTGGCATGTATTCATGTTCTCACATGACACACATCTCATAATTATCATGTTTGCACCACTCGCATACATTCGTCATCCATTGGCGTCACGTAATACCAAATATGACATATGTGAAGGTAGCGAAACGGGCGCGAGTGCATCATGAGTGTGGCATGTAGTCATGCTGTTACATGACATGCATGCCGTGTTTATCATTATTAGGTGTGTCATTCACCTATGTCATTCATTCGCGTCGTGTAATACCGAGTTTTGTACATGTGAAGCTAGCGAAATGGTCACGAGCGCATCATGAGCGTCGCATGTAGTAATGTTGTTACATGAAACGCATCTCATCTTTATAATGTTTGCACTATTATCATACCTTTATTCATTCACGCCCATAATACGAAATTTGGTATATGTGACGCTAGCGAAACGGCCGCCAGCGCTTCAGGAGCGTGGCATGTAGTCATGTTGTTACTTGACACGCATGTCCTGATTTTCATGTTAGGGTCAGTTGCTTGTGTTCGCCATGCAATCATATTGTACCATACGAGTTCTGAAACATGTCATGTGAACAAAACCACCGCGAGAGCAGCAGGATCATGAAATGTAAATTATGACATTCATGACATACATGTCATGATTTTCATGTTATGACTACTCAAAACATTTTTCATTCTGCAGTCATGTTATGCCAAACCAAGTTTGGTACCGATACCTTTATCGAAATGGCCAGGAGAGCTAAAAGCCGTAGGCGGATGGATGGATGGATGGATGGATGGATGGATGGATGGATGGATGGATGGATGGATGGATGGATGGATGGATGGATGGATGGATGGACGGACGGACGGACGGACGGATGGATGGATGGATGGATGGATGGATGGATGGATGGATGGACGGATGGATGGATGGATGGATGGATGGATGGATGGATGGATGGATGGATGGATGGATGGATGGATGGATGGATGGATGGATGGACACGCTCAAAGTCGCCCACGTTCGCTAAGAAATGCTTCGCATTTAAAACCTAGCGACCGTGCAAGTGCACGGTAATGCAAACCTGCAGCCATTCCCTACGGCATCTCGCATAGCCCGAGTCGTTTCTGGTGGTTGAACTTCGCATGCCAACAAAACCAAATGCCAGCATACCCACACCACTGCCACCAGGTTTGGGACCCACTCCGTATACGCTCGAATCTCAAAGCCTATGAATCTGAGCCCGGACTTTCGGGCCAGCTGGACTTTCGATTGCACGGACTTTCGGGCCAGCCCGTGCAATTGGCCGCATTGCGTTGAATGCGAACAAAAATTAAAAATAAAGAAAAAGAAAAGAGCATTCGTGCCACGATAAGCGTATGTTGAAAAAACCCGGATGGTAAAAATTTTCCCTCACGATCGCGAACACCTCATTACTATATCGTGGTTTTGGAATGCAGTGCTCACAAGTAAGAGAAAGAGAGACTTTCTCTACACACCTAAACTTATATGCATGTATATTTCCTTCCCGTTGCAGTAGCAGTATGAAAAATTCGTTGAAAGATGTCTTGATTCGTGTGGTTGCGATAGTGTCTGCCACGAACTGCTTGCATCAGGTGCCTAGGCAGAAGCATTTTTCGGGGGGGGAGGGGGGGCGGAGGGCACCTCCTTAACCTTGGGTTAGGGCCGCCTTTCTACTTCACGATGTTAAACGCTTGCAAATACACCACTCCGAACAAGCGGTGTTGCGGGCGTAAGAGCATCTACGTGATAATTGCGTAAGCGCGTTCGTTGGGGCGAACGTCCGCTTTCCCTGAGAGTTTCTTGAGTGGCACATTGGCTTCGGCTGCGGCACCTGTGTGCACCTGTAGTCTGAGAACAGCCACGGTCATTAAAGTATTGATTAACCAGTTTGCGCGATCCACCTGCCGTGGCGTTTGCATTCCCGTTCGTGATTAAGCCCTCCTTGGAAGACTGCCAGATCAACGGTCCGCAGTGGCGGCCGGCACACGGCTTCCCGAGCCTGTTTTGGTGCCCGGACACGATGACAAACTCTGGAGGTGTGAATGGACAGACGTATGGACAGACAGACACACACACGGATAGACAGACTGAAAGACAGACAAATTGATGGATGGGCGGCTCAGCTTAGAGCCTGTGTAGCTTTTTCCCACTCATCATCATTCACTCCTTTGTTATGCTGTGATTCTTTAGCCAGGCTTTAAGCATGATTGTGCTTTTGTAGTTCGCATTCATATACCAAGAAATAAGGTAATTACAGACCCATTCTTAAAAAAACACATTCTTTCCTTTCGTGTTCTATTTCTTACAGAAAAGCACACCGTACGCTGTTTTTTGGCTGTGTACCACTATTTCAAGCACGGTAGCCCTAAAAGGTAAGAAATGAGGAGCCTTAGCCTTCCATATCAAACAGAAATATTCCAGCATGATCTCTTGCAGTCGTAGGAAAGCAGCGTTCAAGGCCTCACGCACTAATGCCAGTATAAGCATAGGTCGGCAAAAATGTCGAACTCTTTCAAACTCACTCGTCGAATGCATTTTGACTTTGGTTTCACTCGTGCTCAGATTTAGTAAAATTTTCGTCAACGAGACTCACTCGAATTCAGATTCACAAAAACTTATCTCTGCCGGAGTCACTCAAGCTTGAATTCATCCAAATATTACACACCTCAGAATTGCTCAGCCTCGGGCATTCAGCTGCATCTGAGTGGGAGTGAGTCTGAGTGTTACGACCCATGAGTTAGTTTGCCGAAGCTCGTGAGCTTGCTGACCTGTGCGCACAAGAAGCGTTGTATTGTAGTTTCGTAGTCGAAAAATATGATCCGTTTTTTGGCTTTGTTTGTAGCTTTAAAAGGGTGGTGCCGAAAAATTGTGGCATGTGTCTTCTTTGCCATGAGCGTTTCCTTCAGCTCCAGGAAGCGTGATATACACACCAAGATTCGTGTATTTTTTGCTAAATATTTTATCATTGTGCTACTTATATGTACCATTTTCGGTTTCGGTTTTGTGGTGCCGTATTGGGCAGTGACGTCGATGCATAGTCTGCTTGGTCACGTGAGCACACAAGGCTGTGACCACATCTTGTTGAGTTTCGTCTACTCTCATACGCACGTGCCACACCAAGCGCCAGCAAAACAAACGCGCCGACAGTCGCCATGGCCAGCTGCAGTAGCATCAAGGCAGTGGCAAGGCAAAAGGCAGCAAGAAGGGAAAAAAGAATGGCAGCATATCCACGAGGTGAATGATGGATAGTTGCGTAGCATCCGTCCGTTCATTCGTTCTTGCTTCCGTCCATCCATGCGTGCGTCTGTGTGGCCGCCCGTGCGTCCATCCATCCGTGCATGCGTGTGTCCGTTCGTGCGTCCGCACGTTAATCTGTGCGTCCGTCCCTGCTTTCGTCCATGCATCCGCTTTTGCGTCCGTTCATGCGTCCATCGGTCCGTGCAGCCATCCGTGCGTCCGTCCATGCATCTGTCTGTGTGGCCGTTCACTCATCTAGTCAAAAATCCGAGTACCACCATCTCGCATCTTTTCATCATATATTCCACAAATAGAAGCACCGCCATCCAGCGGACATTCCAAGGACTAAACGAGAGGTGGCTCATGCACACTTTCTTTTCCCCCGCTACCATGTAATTCACTGCGAGATTGCTGAAAAGAATGCCAGAACAATCTCGCTTTTTGTTGTCTCCAAATGCCTCACCACTGGCACTTGGCCCAGGTTACCAGGCTACAAGAATGGCCAGTGGGGATCTCCTCGTCGAAGTAAAAAGTCAGTCCCAGTATGTAAACCTCTCGAAACTAGAATCGTTTGGAAACATCCCTATTTCAATATCAACACACCGTTCCCTCAACATTTCACGAGGCGTTGTGTCCGATCAAGACTAGCTTGGCCTGACTGAAGCTGAGCTCCTCGAGGGTTGAAAGGACAGCAGGTGACACAAGTTCCAAGAATAAAAATCAGGCGTGGTTAGAAAGAAGTCCCAACCAAACATATAATTGTGACATTTTGCACCAGTACCCTGTCTGACCATCTCGAAACCGGTTCTCGAAGATAAATGTACGACCCTACATTCCCCACCCACGACGTTGCTTTAAATGCCAGCGTTTTGGTCACGGCTCTCAAAGTTGCCGCGGCCAACTCACCTGTGCGAAGTGCGCCACCACAGGACACGCCAGCGACGATTGTAAGGTGGAGAATGAAGCCCACTGCGCAAACTGCAACGGTGCTCACCCCGCGTACTCCCGAACATGTCCAACATGGGAAAAGAAAAAAGGAAATAATCACTATCGAAATCACACAAAACCTAACTTACCGAGAAGGTCGACAACAAGTATCCGGATTTTTCACTAATAAACCATCGTTCACCAATGTAGTGCAACAGGGGCAGCACTACAATGGCCGGTGGCAGCTGCCCATGCCAGGCACAGTGTGCCCAGGCGGTTGCCAATGCCCCCACCTACGGCGGGAACAGCCGAGGCTGCCCTGCCACTCGTCCCCACGGCCACACCCACGGCCGCTTAAAGCAGTAAATAAATAATGATGGCAAACAATATGCACAGCTCAGCAGAACCTTTATTTACGGCCAATCAATCTTGTAGGTAAATGTAAACCGCTTTGGCACTATTTTTCATGCATGAGTGATAAATTTCAAGGGTTATTTATGGTAACGCAGAACGATCCCACTGCTTCGCCCACTCATAGTCATACACTTCATGAACATGCCGATTTTTAGATGCGGAGCATCTTATACTCGCGCCTTGTAGTGCGCCATCCGCACCGCTTCTCGAACATTCGACAGCTGACGCGCGCGCATGCGCCGTCGCGCCGTCGCCCACTCTTCCACCATCTGTGCATCCCTTCCTCCTCTACACACCGCGCGCGCTTCACTCCTCCACCCTCTGTGCACCCTTCCTCCTCTACACACCGCGTTCGACATCTACAATTCTCCTGATTCTCCAGTGGACGCGCATGTGGCGTCGCGCTTTGAGAACATTCAACAGCTGACAGTGCATGCGCCGTCGTGCTGTATATATACTCAAGGTCGGCGCTCGCTCGCTCAGTTGCCGCTCGTCGGTTGGTTTGTACGGCGCGTCGACGTCCAAGGTCGCGGTGAAATGAATTCCAACGAATCCACAAACACAATGATCGACGTCCCTTCGACCAGCGCCGCCCTTTCGCATACGTGTGTACGTGTTCACTCATTTAACACCCCCTCCTACAACCACGTTAACCAATTTAGCCATCGACCCAAGTAAGTCGCAATTTAACACCCCATTTCACAACCACGTTAACCAATTTAGCCATCGACCCAAGTAAGTCGCACTTTAACACCCCGTTAACCAATTATATGGTCCGCATCCTCCTCAGTGTTCCCCCGAGGGAAGCTGCGGGCAATTTTTTTTTCTTGTGAAATTTTCGCCTGGCGCGTAGTTTTTAGGGGGGAATCACCTTAAAGCGGCAACCGCTCATCCCTCGTAGTAGTGCGTAACATGTCTTACGCTTTGACCTGCAAGGTGGTGCCGGCGGGAGATTTCTCCTGTGCGTCGTTGAACAATAAAAAATTCGTAGCATGCGCGTTAACGAAAAGCCGAATTCTCCTGTCTCTCATTCCCAATTTGTAGCCATTGACATGTACATTGAGCACTATCTGAGAAGAAAGGGTTGCTACGTTACACTCGCTGGGCGCAACCTCTTTGGTTTTAGAAAGGTTTAGCGAGCGTTGGGTCACAGTGCCATAAATACAGTGAACTAGTATATACCATGAACTCGAGGTGGTTAAAGGTGGGAAGTAGACACGAAGCGCAAGCTGTAGAAAGTGTGCGTGTGCCACTTCTCGTTTAGTGCTAGGAATTTCCGCTGGGTGGCAGTGCTTTTGTATGTAGAATATATAATGAAAAGATACGAGATGGTGGTACTTGGAGTGTTGACTAGACGGACGAACGGCCACACGGACAGATGCATGGACGGACGCACGGATGGCTGTACAGATGGATGGACGCATGGACGAACGCAGGGGCGGATGCCTGGACGAACGCAGGGACGGACGCATGGATGGACGTGTGGACGCACGAAGAGGCGCACACACGGACGGGCGGATGGACGCATGGACGGTCACACAGACAGACGCATGGGCGGACGGGAGCAAGAACGAATGAACGGACGGATGCTTCGCCCCACTCTCCATCATTCACACCGTGGATACGCTGCCATTTTTTTCATTGCGTAAGTTTGCCCTATGGCATCAATATATATCACACAAAATTGGGCAGCTGCGTTTCCTCCATTAGGTCGAGGAGGGACCTGTGATTTCGAACGTAAATCCATCGCTGCAAGTAAGGTGACCTGATGGTCCGTGGTCCCGCACGCCGCAGATGGCATCGACGATCCACATGAATATTATGTCCGTAAAAGTAGATCAGGTCTGCTTGCCGCCACGGTATGGGGCGAAATGGGCAGATTGGGGTTTTGTTGGTGTAGGCACTTCCCGCTGACTCTAGCTGTCACAGCTTCTCTTACGTGCACCCTTCGGAGCTGGGTGCAAGAATACTTTAGGTGAGCGAACTCTGCGAGTATCCGCTGCCCGATAATGTGCTGCTTCGAAATGGGCCAAAAGATGGCGCTACAAACTTTGCCCGGCTCCTCCTCCTCTTCTCGGTTAAGGAAAGTCCCGTCACGTAAGAAAGTAGTCGCACTCATTCATCGTCGCCGCAACACCCTCGCCCTGCCGTCAACCTCCTCCCTTATTACCCCCTTCTTCGCAGCGCCGCCGGTTGACATCGCGCAATAAACCGATTTTCTCAGATTGTTAAACCACCGCCCACGTGCCAGATGTGTTTTGCAAAATTTGCCAGCAGCCCGCTAACACTCCTCAGTCCGGCGAGCCACATGTTGCAAACGAGAACATAATTTGTCCTACACCACCAAGCACTTGCTCATTAGCGTTCGCTCACCTAAAGTATTCTTGCATTGTACTCCGGTGCAATACCTCCTATTCGTGACCAAGATCCTTCGAGAGTTTTTTTATATTTCTTTCGAGACTATTCGACTTTACTGGCATGAAGCGAGATTGGAAAGTCAAGATTGTACTTTATATCTGTTCAGTTATACACTTATAGACGTACAAGCCACCAGGTCAAAATTTCTGAGAAACTGCGAGTTGGTATGTAGTTGGAGTGTCACTTGAACACAGTTTAATGACTAGCATACCCGCCACCATGGCAGTGGCAGACTATAGACTACGATGTGTCTTTCCTAGAAGTTACAAATCATGCGCCCATTGCCCATATCCGAACAAAATTCCTGGAACTTCAACACAAAAACACATGTCCTGAGTTCTTTACAGATGTTTCGAAGTCTAACTCCTCTGTGTCC